GCGGAGGGGTGAGATGATTCACCAGAGACAGAGTGGGGAGCAGAACAGGCAGATCTTCTGAAATACACTGCTGTGGGGAGCAGCAGGCGCGACAGAAGAGGTCTGCTGTGCCATGTGGGTCAACTCCCAGGCCAGCCAGGGATGGAATTCTTGCTGCAGAGGCTGCGGAGAGCTTCATAGTGCTACAACTTAACCCCTTGCACCACCTGGGTGCCCTGGAACACCTAAATTTTATTATTCCTGTTTCAGTCAGTAACTTCATGTTAAATTAGTGAGAAGGTAACAAATGTTAAAGATTTACCTCGATCTGACCCAGATTGGGGTCTAAAAGAAATGCTGTTAGAAACTCTGACAAAAATAAAATCATGTTGCAATTAATGTCCTGTTTTTCATCAGTGGTGTTAAAGTTGAGTTTAAGAGTTTAAAAAAAAAACAAAACTTCAGATTGAGAACTTTAATCACTTTTTTTCCCTGCTAGATTGTAAAGCAACAGCTGTAGAATTTCTGCCATTCGAAACAAGTCTGTCCACTACCTTTGCTAAAGATTTTGAATAAAAAGCAAAAAGGCACCATCCCAAAACTGCATTAACACCAAATGTTTAATCCAGGGACTGATTTACCATTTCTGTATCTAATATCACACCCTACAGCCATTCATTTCATATTCACTCAGCAAATATTACTGAAGCACCTCACCACTAATATTTGTCAACACACTGAAAATATTACATTATCTCCCTTGCAAAATGAAAAATAAGGGAAGAGACATTCAGTAACTAATAAACTGTAATCAATTCCTGTGCACTGTGGGAGAATGAAAAAGGGTGATGCTGGTGGGTGGGGGTGGGTGGGTAGGAGGGACATGCATGTTGGCTGGGACCATATTTTACAGGGCTGGGAGCCTGTGAACAGCAATTTAGGGTCATAACTTTTAGAAAGGTAATTCTGAAAGCAAAGGGGAAGATTGCTTGAGAAGGGTAAGGAGAGGTAAATATGTGTATGTGTTGTGTAGGGGGAATGCATTTGTTTTTTTGTTTTTTTTTTTAATGAAGTAATTTTGGAGTAACTTTAATAATTGAGTAGATCCCTTCCAGCTCTATCCATGTTGCTGCAAATTGCATGCATTTATCTTTTTTTGATTGCTTAGTAATATTCCATTGTGTATATGCACCACAAATACCAGATTGTCTCACTCATAGCAGGGATTTAGAAAACCTAAATAAGGGACCAGGAAAAAGACTAATTATAAATAAAGTAAAAATCAAAATCAACAAGCATCTATAAACCAGAGACACACTACTGGGGCAAGGGAGGGAGTAGGATCAAAACAAGAGGGGGTGGGGATTGCATGGGGACTATAATCAAGATGAAAATGCATACATTGTACAAAAATAAAAATGATTTAAAAATATATAAAATAAAAACAATAGCACAAAAATAATAAAACAATGATGAAGATCTAAAAAATAATTAATTGGGTAGAGGACAAAAGTTTCAATAAGAATTAGATCCCCACATTGCTTAAATAGAATTATTTCTGAAGCATCACATACATGATCTTTAAAAAAGAGAGGAGGGCATCCCTGGTGGCGCAGGGGTTAAAAACAGTGCTATCAAGCTACTGCCAGCCACTACAGCAGTACAGTTCCATCAGGCCGGCCAGGGAGCTACCCACATGGTGCAGCAGACCTCTCCTGCCTGGCCCTCTGCTCCCCTCAGCAATGTGTTTCTGTCAATCCGCCTGTTCTATTCCCCGCTCTGTCTCTGGCGATCCTCTCACCTCCTGCACCTCTGGCTTACACACCAGTTCTTGTATGCATAAATAAATAAATCCTAACAAAAATTTAAAAAAATTAAAAAGAGAAAAATAATTCATTATTTTCTTCATATTACTATAATATGTGTTAATTTCAAAGTAAGCATGTTATACAAATTGGATTTTTAGAAAAATAGTAAAAATGAATCATAGTCACAATGCCAGAAATGAACATATTTTGTATGTGACTCTTCAAATTTGGCTTGATTCCACTCAAATTTAGACATTAAATAAGATTGATGATAGAGAAATTCAGACATCTGGGGTCAAGCTCATTTTAAGCAGAAGTTAGTAGAACAACATTGGCCATACTTTTCACAGTACAACTTGCCAAGGAAGACATTTATTGCCACATTATGATAATTATAATTTCTTTACAATGATTTCAAAAAATGTGCTAAGTATGAAAAACACAGTTGGAAATGATTTTGTATTTTGGAATACACACTCCTTTAACATTTATTTTCTGGTTTGAAGCAAATATAAAAAAGTGCAACTAGTAAAAATGAATCCCTTCAATCTTCAATTATCTTCAGCAGAAACTTAAGTACTGAGGAATGGTAAACCTTTATTCATTAGTTCAGCAATTTTTTAAGAAATAGCAATTATTGTATTACACTAGAGATAGATTTATCAGTGAAAAACAGTTCACTGGAGCTATAATCTTTTAAACAACTTTAATTGTTTCAATTTCCATTTTAATTTTATGGTTACATTTTTGCTTTTCCATATGTGCACATGTTCCACTCACCCTCACCAAATCACTCGAGCCGTGCCCCATCTGTCTCCTGTCCCCTGTCCCTCACTCCCTCCCCACTATTGCTTCTAGAGACCATTAAATTCTTTGACAGTGTTTAAGCTGTTTTTCTGCAATATTTTGCCCATGTATTTTTTGTGTGTATTATTTTTATTCCAGAGATGAGTGAAACAATACCTCTATTGGGCATTTATCATAAAAATATAAAAACTGTAATACCTATGCACATAGAAATACTGTCCACAGTTGCCAAGTCATGGAATCAACGTAAGTGCCCTTGAACAGATGAATGGATAAAGAAATTGTAGAATATACACTCAATGAAATGCTGCACAGGTATGAAAAACAGATGAAATAGTAGCTTTTGGAACTCACAGTCTTATGTATGTTAGCAAACTATTCTTTTTCCTTCTTCTATAGAATAGAAATTCCATCAATTATTCCAGGTCTGTCTGCATCCCTGCATTTCCATGAAGTACTCTTGAACTTTTCTGACTCCTGACATTTGCAATTCTTCACGATAGTACCAATATCATACAATTTTAATTTTATGCCATCAGAAAATGATCCTTATGAATTGTATCTGATTTCTTTCTCCTCAATAAGATTTAAAAAATCCTTAAAGGCAGATATTGGATGGGGATAAAGGCTGAATTTTATGAATGCCAAAGAAAAATACCAGGCAGTCTCACTCATAGCAGGAATTTAGAAAAGCTAAATAAGGGACCAGGAAAAAAACTAATTATAATAAAGTAAAAATCAAAATCAACAAGCAACTATAAACCAGAGACACACTGTGGGGGGAGGAAGGAAGGAAGGATTAGGGTCAAAACAAGGGGGGTGGGAATTTTATGGGGACTATAACCAAGATGAAAATGCATACATTGTGCAAAAATGGAAAACGACATAAAAATGTATTAAATAAATAAATAAATAAAAACTGATAAATAACCAAAAAAAAAAAATAATAATATCGAGCAAGACATCTAGAAAATTCCTGGTCAAAGTATTTGAATGTAACTGAAAACCTTATTTACTGAAAGCCTGGCACTTCATTATCCCAAAGAAAATGTCAGTAAAAACTTGTCTCATCATGGTTATCTTACAACTGGTGCAAATGAGGGGACCTGGTGAGAATTTCTTAATGGATTCTCCACGGCATGCTCTTCTCTTCACTCTTATTTTAAAGATAAATTATTCATCATTTTCTAAATATATATTATAAATTAAGTGGACCTAAATGACAAACAACGATAACAATCAGTTTCCCATCTCAAACAACAGTTAAATTAAATTTGCAAAGGGGAAAAATGATAACTTGATGTTGCATTCTCACATTTCCAACTGATTTAAAGTTGTGACAAGTTAGAATACAGTTAGACTATTAAAATAGGGAAGTCACCCTGTGAATCTGTTCTGTAATTCAGAATTTGAAATAAGTTTGTTGTTCTAACTTGCAGGTTTCTTTGGAAGCACTTTTAAAAATTGATCTATATAATTTGTAAGACAGGATTTGAATAGGCATCTTGATAAAGTACAGAATGTTAAGAAAGAATCACTTGAAACAGCCAAATGAGCTCCTTATATACCCCCCTCCATCCCCCCCACATACACACACTAAGGCACATGCTCGATGGCATCCTAGTACTCTAGTACTTTCATGTTCAACTACTTAATACTCCTCTCTGCTAGCCATGAGGACTGAAACAACCACCACATTTCTTGAAGACAGAAAATATAGTCCTTTTTTTTTTTTTTTCAGAACATAAAGCGCACAGTGGTATGCCTATGCTCCATTAACAAAGGAACAATTCCTAGATAAAATTGCAAAGAAATCAACCACACAACAGGTAACACCCCAGTTTTCTCATTGAACATCACTCTCATCACAGAAATAAATGTGAAACAAATCAAATAGCAGGGCATGGCTAATCCAATTTTTGACATCACACAAATCCTCGGTTTACAGTGACATATTCCAAACAAGTGATGATAGAGTAGAAAAGGCAAAAAAAATCCACCCCAAGATCATTCAAAAACCATGCTATTTCTAACAGGATCTAAGGTCACACAGAAAGAATAAGAGAATATGGTCTACTGATCATGGTCTATTTCTGAAAATGTACTTTCTCCCTCTAACTTTCTAAATCTTAATTGTTTTTCTGCTATCCATGGCTAACCAAAAGTATAAACCAGATAAGAATATACATGAAATAAAGTTAATGTCAGTTGTTATTTATTTGAATTCACTTTTCCTGACAGGGCTTTCTAACGACATGATGTTTTCCCAGAAGATTAAGATAGCAAAGCCTCCTGTTCTTTGGACATGACCATTGATTTTTCACCACAGTTTTAAGAAACCTTATTGGTGATGACACATTCAGATAGAAACACATGAGAGCACTCTAAGTTCAGATTCTCACTGACCTTCAGGTTGATATTGTGCTATAATTGTCACCGTCTGTCCAGCCCCCTTCAGAGCTGCAGCAGCTTGCTCATGAGACGCGCCACGAAGATCAATGCCATTTACCTGAAAGCAAGGAAGACAGAGAATTTGGGTAGTTCAGAAGCCATACTATTATGATGAAAGGAAATCATTTCCCCAAAGGGAGTACTTGTCTAAGTTGAAACCACATGGCTCACAAGTCCTCATGTACGGACCCAGGTATTTGAGTGTTAACTTGGCAAGTTTCATGCTCATGGTAACTTTTAGTTAGCAGACCCATGAAATTTTATCTCATGGTGTTTGCAGCATGGTCTGAAACTATTTTGTCTATCCATGTCTGCTGGAATTTTAGCTTGTACATTTACTATGCCTCTGTGAGTTTCCCAGGCTTCTAGGATAAATAGAAATTTTCAAAATTAGAGGAAAGACAGGGCAATAAAAAGACACATGTAATGTACATAGACAAGTATGTGCTGAGAGGTTCATATATTCAGGTGAGGTTCTGGGGAGACTGGATGGGCTGGGGCTGGCTGCCTGCCAGATCCCTCTGCTTGGTCCTTTGCCTGGTCCTGTTATCCCAAGCTTAGTTAGACAGCCCTGAGTCTTGTTCCAAAATAAACTTGACTGCCCCATTTCTCATGCACAATTCCAGAATGAATTCTGACAAAATGAAATAAAGAATTCCTGGAATTGATGTGGATGTTGCTGTTGCTAATTCCCATTTTGGGGCCCATGCCAGAAGAGAAATAGAGCATCGAAAAAAACATGCTCAAAATTCTGTCAAGAGGAAAAAATCATTCTGAAGTCAAATTTAATGAGAATCAAAAGCTAAAATCTTTCTTTGAATCATTGACGTTTAAGTCAACAAAATATAATTGCTGAGAGCTTTCCAGCGACAGAGCTGTGTGTTTGCCCCCACAGAGGGGTGGTGTGTGGGGAACAAAGATGCACAAGACAGGCCTTTTGGAAGCTTTTCTTTAACTGAACACACAGTAAATCAAGTTTTCTAATGTACAGAGAGTTGGGTTTTTGTAGATGACATTAGAATTCTGTTTCCTTTTACTACTAGGAAAGACAGCTATAGCCCAGGAAAAAGAATGAAAGAACTTGTGAGTTTCTCTATGTGTAAAATAAAGAATCTTATTTTGTCTCCTATCAATCCTCTTTCACAATGCAGCGGGTGGTGGATGGGGGCTAGAACCAAGTTTCCCGATCAGTACCAGGACTATAATTTCAGATCCACATCCAGGTCCTCTTCTAATAATTTTATTAAAGTCTTCTAATTCATTTACAGTTTTCCTCATCTCCTCCTTGGCTCTCTGTACTGGCAAGGCCTTCCTGAAATCACTGATTATGTGGGAACACTGGGAAACCCGCAAGCCAGGCGCGCCTGACTATGCTGCTGACCAGCTGAGCAGCTATTTCCTCCATGAGCCTCAGTTTTCTCCTGTCTTGGAAGGAAGAGACTATTGAGGCCTTTGAGTCTAAAGCCCTCTCAACTATGACATTTCAGATCCACTCCTTGGTAGATGGACACTTCAGACTGTGTCGGCACTGATGATCAGGATTACGGCCCAGAGAGCTCTTAGAGATAGGAAGAAGAATCGGATCTAGAATCAATTACTGGGCTCTAGTTGCAGGAAGCTGAATGTGCAGATATCACAGACCAATTTATCTAATGTCACATCAAACAATTAGCTATTTTTTTTATTGAAAAATACTCTTCTATCACGGTAGATTAAGCCAATATTTCAGAAAGTTATGAAAGGTAAAGCAAAAGTGTCTCACCATCTCCAAATCTAGAGGTAACCACTGTCAGCAGTGTCTTGTGCAAACACATCAGAACTCTGCCCTATGCACATTCAGGCACACGGCTTTATCTCACTGTTTCTCCTTACATATTTTAATATATTACCACCTTTTAATTGAAATCAGTAGGATCATATAGATACATAATTCTACACGCCTTGATTTTGCTTCTCATTTGTCAGTGTCTTGGGCCTCCACCATTTTAGTTCTTATCATTCTATTATTTTAGTGGGAACCTAGTATTCCATGGATGCACCAGCATTTTCCCAGTAGGATCCCTGTTGATATGTTGTTTCTAGCTTTTTATGACTACAAGCACTTAGACAAAAGTTTGAAAAGGAAAAACTTTTTGAAAATGGACAATCTAAGTCTAAGTCTAAGGATATATGAACTTTTTTTTTAATTTGCTATTAAACAATTAAAAATAACTATTTACTCACTAAATAGAAATTAATTGAAAAGGCAGTCCATAATCCTATCACTCAGGTATTGCAGTGCCATAAAAAATGAAATCAATATATGTACATAGTGCTTCTACATGAAAATTAAAATGATACAAAGGCATAAAAATAAAAGGTTACTCCTATTCTCTCCCCAAGTACTATGCTCATCAGTTCTTGTTTATCCTACCTATTATTTCTGAATAATTGAAGCATTAGAATTCACTTTCTGAAATACTGGAATTCATTTACCATAATACTATATTATTTTTTTTTTATTTTTAAAAAAGATTTTATTTATTTATGCATACAAGAACTGGGGTGTAAGCCAGAGGTATGGAGGGTGAGAGGATTCACCAGAGGGAGTGGGGAGCAGAACAGGCAGATCTACTGAAACACACTGATGAGGGGAGCAGTGGGCCAGGCAGGAGAGGTCTGCCTCGCCATGTGGGTTTCTCCGTGGCTGGCTGGGAATCAAACTCATGCTGCAGTGGCTGACAATATCTTGATAGTGCTGTCTTTTTCCCTGAGCCACCAGGGAGGCCCCTAATATATTATTTTTTAATAAAAAGTTAATCCTAATTGTTTGATAAGAGATAATTTGGTCTATGAAACCTGTTTTGTATTCCTGAATAAATCATCTGCCATATAAATATATGTGTATGTATATGTAGCAGGTTCATAAAACATATAATACTAAAATTGTATAAAAGTAATATTGTATTTTACATATTGTCTTATACCTTCATTTTTCCACTTATAAATATCTTAGAGAACTTTCAGTAGCAGCAAAGCATTCTATTATGTCATGCAAAGTAATTTATTTTAGCCATGCATCATTAGTGTAGCTGTGTTGCTTCAGTATTTTATTGTTATGAACAATGCTGTAACAAATATCCTCTAACAAAAAGCTGTTAAAGGGCATGGATATCAAATTTGGTAGTTATTGCTAAACTTTTTCAAAAAATGGGTATTAATTTAGACCCCAAAAATAATGATTGTCTAGCTCTTCATACCCTCATAAAATCTGCATATACCCCCAACATTTGACCTTTGTCATTCTGATAGGGAGACAATCACATTTTTCACTTTTGCATTTCTTCATTTATAAGGCAAACTTCCTTTTCATATGGTCATTGGTTATTTAAATTTATTTTTACATAAAAAGTTGTTAAATTATTTTGCCTATTTTTGAGTGTGGATAATTTGCTTTTAATTTTTTTTCTGCATACTAAGAATATTTGTTTCCCTCTTAGATAACTATTACAAATATTCTTATTGGTTTGTTATTAATATTTTATATTATTGTATTTTAACTTTTCCTTGTATGCTATTTCTTGCCAAATAGAAATTTAAAATGTTTACATAATCACATTTATTTATCCTTGAGGTTTGAGTTTTTATCAGCAAACTGCTCAAATAACATTGTCAGAGGCATTAAAAACAGTTCACATCATTGATTTATTTTTTCTGACTCAGTCTGAATTCTCTTGAAGCATGGACTAGATTGAATGTCATTAATTATTACTGAGATTAATAATGGTAATCATTGCTAACATTTACTGAACATCAAACGTTACAAAGGAGATATTTATATATTATCTAATCCTCAGGAGTCAGCGATTTTTTTTTATAAATAAAAAAACTGAGCTTAGAGAGAATCACTAATTTATTCAAGGTAAAACATTTGGGGGAGGCTAAGAATTTAAAGCAGCTCAAGTTAAACTTCTGAGGATCTATGTCTATAAGCATCTAGTTCTAAAACTGGTCTTTTAAGAATATAACTCCAGCTCCCCACCTGACAGTACACAGTTGGGTGGGCATGGCACACTGGCCAGCTATGCAGTATTTCCAAGCCACCTGGCTTAGACATTATGGCCCAATTTGTAATGATCAGTCATGTTTGGGGGCAGCTAGAGACTTTGGGCTGACTAGAAAAATTTCTTCTATTGCTACTTCCTTATATGTATACCACTGTCACTGAATCACTGAAAAAATAATTTCTCTTTGTCATAAAACCCTATTCATAGCCATGTTGTTGATAGAAATTTTAGTACTTCTAGTTGATTCAAAAGTTGTTTCTTTCAGATCTTAATGTGAAGATGAATAGTGTGCAATATCCAAGGTCAACCTTTATTTGCTTTTAAAAGATGAGCATTATACTTGCTAATTTGACCACTAGGACTCCTGTCCTGGAGTCCAAGAGAGTCCTTGAATAAATGACTCTGTTCTCCAGGAATAGCTATCTATTTCTTAAAATTACAGAAAGGTTGATATCAGAATCAGAGTATTTCAGAAACGGGAGAGCCTTTTGAGATCATCTTCAACAACTAATGTAAATCTTTCAGTTGACCGTATCACAATATTCTTATACTCTTGCCCACCAACATACTGACATTTTTAATTTCTCGATGTACTTACATAGGAACTCCTACAGGTAGGAGATTTTCTTACTGAAATTTGGTCCCTAGCGTAATGCTTTGCACACAATAAGTGCATAATAATTGGAGAGGTGAGTGAATTAATAAGTGGGTGAGTGAATAATATATTTTCTCTATATTATCCCAAGCAAATGCTCCTCTAATAATGACACTGACTTCACAGTGATAAAGAACCTGCTATCTTTCAGAGAAATCTCTCCCACTAGGGGTTGGTTCTAGTGATAAAAAAAAAGTTCTGTATGTTGAATCTACATATAATTTTATTGATACTTTCTAACTCTGGGTTCTAGCTCTGCCCTCTGAGAGATTATAAAACATTTCTTCTTACTTATGAATTCTTCTTTTATATGATCTTCTTTCTAATGTTTAAGACTAATTTCTCTTTTCCAGGTCG